TGTCTGATCCACCACCTTCCAAATGAGGTTCAGAATATCCCCCGAATATCTCAAGATCAAAGGCTTCTCTCAGATGGAAGCAGGTAGTTCAGTATGTTACAGCTGACCTCTCTTAAACAATTTTAAGCCACAGGGGGAAAAAGCAAACCCCCCAAAAATCTAAAAAACTCTCACCAAAATCAAACATGCTTGATTAGGAAATATTTACAAGCAATTTATGAGCAAGAAAGGCAGCTTGATTATTTCAACAAGCTGCCTGACCAGCCCTACTGTCCTAGGAAAGCTGCTGGAGTTGGTGGTGTTGCACAATATGTAGCAGTGTGAACAGAAGCATCAGTACTGGGTGGGGGGGAAAAGCAATAACAAAGAAGTAGAAGTGAACACCATCAAGATCCTAGTCCCTGACACTCATAGCTTCTGCACCACCTCCCATCCCATTCTCCAGAGCTGGGGTAGTGATACCGGTACACTCTCCCCCTTCAATGGTGGGATAGGGGGATTCAGGCAGTTTCTTCCTCCTGTTCTCAGGCAGCGTCAGAGGAGCATTATCCCTGTGCTGACTGATAGGCTCAAACAACACCAAACTCCATCAAGTCCTGTTCTTGGCTGATCCCCTGGCTGTATATGCTAAAATATTTGTGTTATCAGGCTTGTCACAAACAGAAGATCATGACTTCATTGAAGATCGCAAACCCAGGCAAAGAGAAGATAATTTTATCCTAAACAGATTTGGACTAGGTAGGAAAGCAGGGCTATCAATGAAATAAGCACAGCTCTGAGTTTTCCTTCCTTGTCTAACCCTCAGCTTGATGCAGCTGATCCCTCTGTTTGAAAAGAGGATGCATGTTTTAGTTACAGAGTAACACCTATGGTATCAAGTTATAGAAATAGCTTCCACAGCTGTTTCGTTCAGGAATTTCACGGTCCCAAGAGAACATTTTTGCAAGATGACAAACACGGTGGATAATGCCTTGTTTTAAACTGGGCACTTAGAGAGAATATACCACCTTCTCTGTGTATGTGCAGGTCAGCGCTGTTGCCTAGTGGTGTCCAGGAAACAGAAAGCCAAACGCATGTTTAAAATTGTTAAAAAAGATTACCACTCCCAAGACAAATTTTACCAGTATTTTGTATTTGAAATTCACTGTGCATAGTGAGCATTGTTGAGTTATTTCAGTTTAGGCTCCTATCCAGTAGTGTTAAAAAAACCCATAGCTAACGTGCAGCATGACGGGATAGTCTTTGGCGAGGAACATCCAGGCAGTTAATTTAACTGTCACATCGGTGTCTCGTAATGGAACGGTTTTAGAGCCTGCCTCACCGTGAGCAACTGGACACCGCTCAGAAGGAAGGCCATTTCAGGACTTTGTTGAAGAACTCACTGAGCCTGGAGGACTAACAAACAGTCAGCCACAGTTGAAACGAGGTTAGAAAAGTAGCCTGAAGTCCTTTTTATTTTTCTTGGCGAACCCAAAGGATCTGTTAATGGAAATACCATTTCTGTAAAATGTTTTTAGACTTAGACACTTGTAAGAGGCAGCTTTTTCACAAAGGAACCGGAAAGGGGAGAAAGAAGATGAACTCCACCGTTTGGGAAGTTAAGGCGTTTAGACTGAACGGCGTGGCAGCACATTGCTCAGGAGATGTCAGTGTTAAACGTGGGAAGGGCAACTTTAACATAGACCTGTGAATGGGTGTAGCAGTTTGTTTATTAGAGCAAATACCCTTTCCTTTCATCAGTATTCCCTGACTAAGCATGGACTTGCACTTCAGCTTTGTATTCACTGTGGCCTGGGAGTACGTGACACCTTTTGAAAGGCTGTTCTGCTGTTCATTGCCTTTATCAATTCAAGCGGGTTAGGCAACAGAAAAAAATTATCAGGTAATGGATGTCAAAACCAAGGAAATGCTTCCTCCCCCTCTCCCCCCCCCAAAAAATAATTATGGTGTAGAAGTTCTTGCTGCAGCAAACTGTGGAAGCTACAAGTATGAAGCTGATTAATAAAAGGGATGAGACAAAATTAATAGAAACAAAATCTATCAGGAGCTATTGCAGATACATAGCCTGCAGCTCTGGAGGTCTACTGAAAAAAAAACCCACAAAACACCACAACCCCAAACTAACAAACAGTGAGAAGATAGGAGTGTGCAAACCATGCAAAGATCGCTGTCTATATGCCCTCTTTCTCCAAGCATCTCCTGTTAGCCACTGCCTGTTATCATGCAGTGCCTGGTGAACTGTGCATCGTGCAGGAGGCGCATGAAGTGAGCAGAGCTTTGGAGGGGAAGGAGTACCCAGTTACATGCCTGAGAACTGTGTTACACAGACTCACAAGCAGCAACAGTCCCTGCTATGACACTAATTAATATTTGAGTGCTTAACTATGGCAACTTAAATGCTTTTGTGGTTTTGTGATATATATTTAAAATAGAAAAAGAGATCTGTGCAAATGCATCCCTATTTCTGAAATACACTGTTAATAGAGATTACAGTCCAAATTTTGCTAGACTTGATGGCATTCCTTCCTCCCACTCATACTTTCCTCCCAGTTCTGCCTTGCAATTCAGCCTGTCAATCAATTGCAGACATTTCTTATAGTCTAATTTCCTGGCTTCCTGCCTTCAAACATTGGCATTCCATGAGCACCAAAAACCGTCTACACAACACATGAAAGTTTATAGGTCTGAAGAGGATCATTAAAGATATTATTTTTCCAACACCTCAGAAATCATCTTTATGTCTTTTAGTCTATGTACATGTAGTAGCATTTGCTTCCCAAGTCTCTTTACTTGCTACTTTTGTATGCAAAATACTTCATAACCCAACTAATAAAAAGCCCAATTCCACTGTAGAGGTAAGATGTTAAAGGGAATCTTTGTTGAGTGCCCATCTCACCTTTATTTCCACACACCCCCCCCCTTTTGGTTGCTGTTTGCTGTATTTCAGGACCAAAAGTCCAGCTCCTCTAAATCTAAACACTGCTCAGGACATATGGCAACAAACAGCAAGAAGAGTTCCAGTGAACACTGCTGAGCAATATCCTTCCTAGCTATTCACACAGGCGTTCAGCCAAGCACTTTGATACTTTGTTATGATACAAAAGCAGTCATTTCACCATGAAATCTTTGGGCTAGAATCCATAGAAATGAGCAAAACCACTCAAAACAACCATAGAGATTATCGCAGGTTGAAGAACACAATGCACTTAATGTGATGAGCAGTATCAGCTGAATAGATCTGAAGGACAAAGTCTCTCTAGAGACCTGCACAGAAAAAAGCATCAGCAATACCATCATCTCTTACTGTTTTTTTTTCAAAATGCCTCATCCTAGTCTGGGATTGTTGAGCTGCTTCACGCTTTTGATATCTAGCCAGCAGAAAATTAGCAGTGCCACTCCAAGCATACAGGAGTTTCTGGTACTCACGGAGCTGAGCCCCAGCACACACTGTGACTAATTTCAGAAAGATCAAACACTTTTCTGATAAAAAGTTTTGGTCATTTACCAACCTAAGTAGACAAAGGGAAAAAAAAGAAAAAGCAATTGTGAGCTGTCATCTAAACTCTTAGATTGTTTGGAGTTCTCAACAGAAGTCTCTTACAAAAGTCTAGAAGGTCTGAGAGAAGTTGAAGGGAATCACCACTTAATATTGACAGCCCGTCTAGAAGACATTAGGATTGTGCTTTTGCTCAAAAGAGGCATTTTAGAATGTCAAACTACACAGTAAGCATCATGCAGTGCTACAGAGTAAGACCTTTTGGTGCACAGCGTCAACCTCAAGGGGTACCTAGATCCTCCACACGCATTTCTGCTGACCTACAAAGCTGCGTCTATACCCTACTCCATGACCTGCCAAGTTAGCTCTGTGGAAAGCAAGTAGGGGAATATCAAAACAGCACATACCAAGTGAGCAAGACCACCACCAGATTCAGCTTCCAAGTGCCAAGCGGGCTCTGGCTCAAGCAGTGTAGGAGAAGCATGGTCCTGCTATCTCCTTCCCATGCAAGCCAGAGAAAGTTTCCCAGAAAGGGACCAAACAATTATTTTTTTTTAAACTAAATGCTTTTAATAGAAAACAAAATACAAAATAACTCTTTCCAGAAAGCAGAAATATTTAATCTCTCCAAATGACAAACTAGAACGTGCTCTTTCCACAGATCCTTGTTGTAAATGCTGATGATTTATCTCACAAAGTGTTCATGAAACTGCTATTGCAACATTTTGAGAAAAATCCAACACTGGCAGAGCTGCCTCTATGTACGCACAATAATTTAGTAATACTATTTTTTCCCATGTCACTTTGTGTCTCTCTCTCTCCCCCCGTCCCCCTCTCCCTAGACTGCCAACTTCCATTTACGGAAATATTTGTGAGGTGCAGTGGTGGATTGACATGCCCTGTTTCTATTAGGAATCCAGACTTAGCCGCTTCGGTTCTATTGTGCCCTCCCTCCAGACAAGGCAAGTTGTTTACTACCCTTAAAGCCACTACCCCCACTGTCCTCCCATTTTCAAAACACAGTGCAACCAGATTCAGAAAGATTCCTAATTAATGGAACATAAATACAAGTATCACAGCTAGTACCAGAAACCAAACCCAAATGACAGTGCAGAGATGGGCCCCAACTGAGGTCAGATTTCCATCCCCTTACTAAAAAGAAAGATGGTATTTTCTACTTAGCTAGTCCAAAATATTCCAGAAGTGCTATAGGGAGCTGTAATATTTAGGACCACTATCACTGTAGAAAAATACATAATGTTCTTTTAATATAAGGGTCTTAAAATGCTGGTCCTCTGCAATACCAGGAAAACAAAAGCAAAACAAAACAAAAACCACTGGGCCAGTAGTTCTCCACACACTCAAGCCTCAGTTAACAGTAGGTAAGATGTGCCCATCAATCAATGCAGGATATTTAAGTGCAGGTCAGCAGCTTATCTGGTCGGCAGTTTCACTTGTTTGGATCAGGCTTTTGGTTTCCTCAAGCTACCGGATTTCCTCTCCTTTTTCTCATCCCTGCAAGTACAAGATTAGAACGTATACATATTTTCAGCACTCTTCCTTTTTTCCTTATTCCGTTCAACAGCACAGGCCTTTTTGTGGACAAGACGTTTTAAAGCATTTGCATTACTGAACATGCCTTTCAAGGGGGTAGAGGAAGAAAAGTGTTTCACAGTCAGTAATCTCAGCTTGCAATGGACTCTGGCATTCAATACACCCACCCGCTTCCCTATTAAAAAAAAAATTAATGTTCCTGATTTTCTTGTGCAATTCCAGTCACTAGAAGAAGATTACAGGCCATAAACTGTACGCTCAGTACATTATTCATTTGTCCGGTATATACACCAACCAGTTCACTGGAAGACCCATCTGCAGGGGCGTTGCAGTAACTGTTCCGAATGTCCCAGACCCGGACCGAATTGTCCATCGATGCCGAAGCAATTAAACTGCTGTCGGGGCTAAAAGTAAGGCTGGTTATGTTGTCTGTGTGCCCCCTCAGTTCTTTGTAAAGAGTTCCTGATGCCAAGTCCCACAACTTTAGCCGCTGGTCTTCACCTGCTGATGCCAGGTACTTACCGTTGGGAGAAAAGGCAAGTGCCAGCACAGGGCCACGGTGCCCGGTGAAAAGACGCACCGAGTTGCCTTGCTGAGTGCTCCATAAGCGCACAGTTTTGTCCGTGGAGCCTGTCGCTAAGTAGTTGGAGTTGGGGTGGAACTTGACACAGTCTACATCCGCCAAATGGCCTGCGTATATTCGCAGCGGGTACGTCCGATCAAACGACCAGAGCCTGGCAGTGCGATCGTGGGAACCACTGGCAAAGTACAGGCTGCAGGGGCTAATATCCAAATCCCAGACAGGATAGGCATGTCCTTGGTACAACACAGTGTTTGTAAAACTTCGGAGGTCCCAGTATCTGATGGACGTGTCCTCAGAACAAGATAAGAGCCCCGAACTGTCTGAAAGGAACCTCGTGCTATACACGGGTCCACAGTGTCCTCTCAGGATCTTCATTTCTGTGCCTGCGCTGTCATCCTCTTCCTCCTGGTTGGGGAGGAGAAAAAGAAATAAGAAAGGAAAGTATGTTTATCTGGTTGAGAAATACAGGAACCACCATGAGAAAAACAGGCAGGTGTTAAAACCGAAGACATGTGGCATGTTTTGTGCAACTCAGACACAAACATTGCCAGCGCATTTGCTGCATCTAAGTTAATACTGAAAGAGATGGGGAGATAAAGGTTTTATCTTCATTTTGGGTAGCCTCATGCTCACTCCACAAGGCACCCTAACGTGGGACTGCATGCAAATAGGGAAAAAAGGAAGTATTTTATACTTCTTGTTAAAAACATACGCTTGTTCCCTATCCACTCTCTACTAAACTTTTGGCTAAGATGTTGAAACAGATCTTGGCATCTGCTCTTTTGGTGTGGTCATTATTGGAAATGAATCTCTCAGTAGAGAAAAAGAAACACAGATGTCTTAAAAGGCAGGAGATGGAAAGACAAAGCATATTTGACAAGCTGTCTGCTGGACATTCCTTCTTAGTCCCACACATAAACCAGAAACCCAGTAAGGCCCTAACATCTATTTCTCTATACAAGCTCCATCCAGATGCTTTCACATCCTCACCCTTCAGGAACAGCAAATGTATGCAGCTTATTTAAGAAAATGATCTGTTTTGGGGTAGGAGAAGATTAATAATCACAAAATGGATGGCCCTCCAATTCAAGTAGCAGGGCAGATAGTCAACAAGTAAAGGCTTTCACGTTTAAAGACTCCTCAGCGAGCCGTGCTAAAGGAATCTCCCAAAGGAGGGTAAGAGTCTCTGAAAGTCTACTCAAGTAGCATCTCTTGGCAATCACAGGCTACAGGCTGCAAAATTTTCAACAAGTCTCAACTCAAGAGAGCGTCCTTGCCCAACAAGATGGGGTCTCAGTGACAGAGCGCGAGACAACCATGGTTTGGGGCACACCTGCGTAGTAGCTCAAGACCACCCTTCCTCAGGGCTGTCAGGCAGACGTTCTTCCTCAGTACTGAATCAGTAGCACTCATCCACAGACAATCCCTGCACACCAAATGCAACACAACGCCCTTTTGTTTGTGAGCAGCCCCTTTATCATCACAAACTGGCCTGCTTCCTGC